AAAAAGAGTATAAGTGGAAACAGAAACAATCCAAGAAGATCATAACCAAATCTCAGAATATTGACTAAGTAGGATACTCTAATCTAAGAACTTAGATCAACTATAATCCAAATCCTCCATCTTTACAAGATAGGCAAAATTACCAAAAACTTCAAAAGTAAAGAAACTTCAAAGAGACTCAAGCCAGTAATTAAGAAAGTAAGAGTATCCAGATCACAATCGACGAGTAATAATGATATGAAACGAAACCAATAAGAGGGAAAAATCCAGTATGTAGGCAGTACCAACTATTGCGTGCAACCTAACTGGTAAAAAACCAAAACTCTTTTCTAAAAACTTTCCTCCATTGATGTAGAAGTTGTAGATATGAGAGCTCTTTGACTTGCAACTATAAGAACAAACCATGTGCAGTGCATTTGTGTCTCTTCCCCATCTAATCCCATACAGTACGGACTCAACTACTTCATTCATAATCCATTAAAGACGAAGACCCGCAAAAATTAGAAATATAACTAACCCACCACACAGCTTCAAATCAGATTAATTTGAAATTTTTGACGAAAAAAAAAAAAAAAAACTTACAGAATTAATTAATGCCAGCAGCTGAAACGTAACAGTACCAAACTCTCTAATAAGAATATTATTATCTTGAGTGATCCCCAAGTCTTCTAGAAGGTCAACAGAGAAGATAACTGTAATTTTTGTAAAGATGGAGAAGAACTAAACTTACAGAAAGTAGAATTGTTTTGGCAGAGAGATTATTTACAGAGAATAAAATGCATGATTTGCAATCTGGGTGTTGTTTGTTTTGTGAAGGTAAAGAAGAAAAGAAGCTCAGAAGATCAGCATTCATGAATTTTCATGAGAAAAACACAAGTGGGTTTAGAAGATGAATAGATATCATGACAGTGAATGTATAGAGACAAAGACTTGACTAAAAATGTGGGTGGAAGGAAGACGGAAAATTAAATTTCAGGTTCGTTGTCAGTGAAAAACAGTAAATTTGGTTTTTAATGAAAAATTTTTGATTCTTTTTCTTCTCATATAAAAAATAAAAATCTGGAAGGAAAAAAATAATAATTGAAGAAAATAGTGTCGTGCAGCGGATAAGGCTGCTTACAAGAAGGGTCAAACCGAGAACGCTCTCACAAATCACATGCTCCATAATTTGACTTCTCTCTATTTAATGTTTCTTTTTCGTGCTTAAATCGTTGATTCTTGATTGGTGAATTGGAAAGTTTTTTTAAAATTTTCCAAGTCATTGATCATTGCCTAATTTTCTAGAAGCAAAGAGAAAGAAAAAGATGAAAATCATTCCGAGAAAAATGCATGTGAACTTGAAAAATAAAAAGAACAAACTTACCATCTACTGTCAAATTTAAGAATTGCCCAGGTTCATTTACCTTAAAAAATACGAACACATTCGCGTATATATACATGTATGTACGTATATGACTGCCAAAAAAGATTTCATTAGAAGAACTGAGATGACCAGCACAACTGTAATAGAAGAACATTTTTTTTTACGTTCATTTGAGTTAATTTCAAAACACAATATAAATAAGATAAAATTTCAAATTTAAACTTATTTCCAAGTCACATGCATTTTTTATAATTCTTTGTCAGCATTTTGCATTGACTTTAGAATTATTATTTTTACTCTTGAAAATCAAGAACTATACCTAAATTTTGGTTAGTGGGGAGAGACAAAATCATTTGTTTAGACACCAAATTATTAGTTGCATCCCAATTATTTTTCTATAAAAAAAAAAAAAACCAACTTGAAATCAACAATTCGGTAGCTTTTACACCTTGTTGCCTCCCAATTTGACCGGTAACTATATATACACACATATATGTATACGTTCAACCTTAAGATCAATATTTCAAATTTGTTTCTTCTTTGAGAAAAAGTTATACAATATAAAATTCTAGCCACCCTTGTATTATTTAACTACCACTTGAGTGAATCATACTTTCTCCCATTAGTTTAATGTGTTAGTTTATTATTATATAGACAAATAGCTAGCACGCAATCTTATCTCAACGACCGCCGTAAAGTAATACGTATACATATATTTATATATTATACGTATTAATATATATATATATATATATGTGTGTGTGTGTGTGTGTGCGCGCGCGACATGAGTAATAAATTGAAACAAGAAATTTTTAAGGATCTAAAAGATCTCTTAAAGAGAAAATCACTCTCTCAAGCAAACCGGTGAATACAATTAGATCTTATTATGACTAAAATTTATAATTATTATTTTTAGTACAAGATTATTTGAGTAACGTACAAAAGTAAATTTTTTAAAATAAAAGTATTTCGATTTAATAAAAGTAAAATAAGAAAGACAAAATTATGTAATTATGTTTTAGTGAGAAGGGTATTTTTGTAAATTATGTTTTATATAATACGTAAGTAATTGTGTGTGTGTATGTATGTGTGTATGTATGCGTATGTATAGAAAGGGAAGGTGTGAAATTTCAATTTGTATTGGCGGTGATGGTGGAAAATAATATCGTTGTCAAGGAGTGTGGGGGCATAAAAAGGACGTGCATGATGCATGGCGGCATGAGAGTGGCAAAAGCAACCCTAAGGTTTTTTTTAAAACCATAAAATTGTTTGAATATAATTTTTTAAAAAAAATCATAAAATTAAATATCGACCGACACATTCATATCTTTAATTATCATCACTCCATTGCATACCACCATCATATCCGTCTCTAATAAATTCCTCTCTCTCCATGTCTCACATCTATTTTTCTTTTAAAAATAAAAAATTTAGCATGTTATAATTATTTTAATTAAAAATTAATTAGATCAAATAAATATTTATTTTATTTAAAAATATAATAAATTTAATTATTATAAATATATATATATATATAGTTTGTAAACCTAGCTTAATAAATTAAAAGATAAACATCCTGGTAAGTCAAACCATATGCGAAATATACATTATTACAAAGGGTCATGACCCAAAACTTTTTGTAAATAAAATCACAAAACTTTCTCATGTTTTTATTATTGTATTACATATATTTGTATTGTTAATTAATTAGTTAGCTCTATACACTTTAAAAATGCGCTAAATTTTACGGTAGAAAGATATATAAAAGACGAGAATTATAAGCATCTTTCGTATTTCAAGTAAAACTTGTGGAGCTAATTGGTTTAATTAAAATACATTTGATAGAATTACTAAAATTGAAAAAGCAAAAGTGTTTTATCTGATCAAAAAGTAAAATAGTAACTTTTGCAAGAAAATGTATCGTAGGAATTAGGATGATATCAAACCCACCAGCACTTTCGAGAAAATAAGAACTTGATTTATAGTAATTAATAATTAATTAATTACCTTATTGGATTCCCCCCGCCCCCAAACAAAGAAAGAAAAACTAATTTGGAAGTCAAAGAAATTTCCACGAAAAGCCCGTCAGATGGTCCAAGACATTTTCTTAAAAGCAAAGATTCGAGAGTACTTCAAAGAAGAAAGTTCATTGAAAGTTCGTTTAAATTTTTCACAGTGAAAATTCAATCCTTTAGTATAATTTCTAAGAACTGAATTCTGATTTCTAAAAAATTCCAAGTGCAGATGAGATTGAAGGTAGAAATTGAGAGAAAATTAAGCCCAAGGCAAGATCAGTTCCATACCATAATTTCAACCGGCTTATGCAAGCCTTACTTCAGATCCTGTACTGGAAATTAACACCTACACTGTTAAAACTTAAACAAAACACAGTATGCTTTTGTAGAGCTGAAAGATTTAACTACCCAAGACTTGCCCAGGCTCATATTCTGATGGTCTACGGATCTCTCCCATCCCATGCACTTGAAATTTTACACGGCCCAATCACATGAATGTGCTGATCAACTTTTCATGATGACAAAAATAGATCGATGAGACCTTTCCTCTTTACCCCTACTGTTTTTTGACATGAACATTATATATACATATAACTTAATATTGCAGTATATTGGATTCCAGGGTAGAAGGTAAAAAAAAAAAAAAAATCATTCTGATGTATTAGTATTCAGAACTAGATAGTAAAAAACTACTATCAACACAACTGTAGTACCGACTGGAAGATCCTTACCTCACCATCTCTGATACCCCCAAAGCCATAGCCAAATCACCAGACTATGCGCAGAAATCTTTCTGGTGCTATATCTTGAATATATCCAATATGAGATCTTTTTCGGGAAGGCATAAGAAAATCAAGGAGAAAACAGGATTCCTGTTATCAATTCCTTGATTTCCGTTTTTCTCTCCTGGATTCTGCATGTTCTTTTTCAGTACTATAATGAGAAGATCTGTGAGGAGAACTTCTGTTCCTATGTTTATGGTGCTTCGAGTGTTTCTTGTTGCTGCTTTTCTCTCGAGAGGATCTTTTCTTTCTCCCCTTTGACCTAGAAGAGTAGCGGTCTCGATGATCACTA